ACTGCTACCAATAATAATGATAAGAGGAATAACAAGGGAAAAGGACACACCCCCCCCCCACCCGCCGACCGATACCCAGCCCGACCCGAGCAGCGATCTGGGCCTTCCGGGTAACTCCCCCCAGTTTATATACTGGGCATGACGTGCTGTGGTATGGAATACCCCTTTGGCCAGTTTGGGTCAGGTGTCCTGCCTCTGCTTCCTCCTGGCTTCCCCTCCTCTCTGGCAAAGCATGAGACTGAGAAAGTCCTTGGTCAGAGTAAACATTACTGAGCAACAACTAAAAACATCGGTGTTATCAGCATTGTTCCCAGACTGAAAGTCAAAAACACAGCACTGCACCAGCTACTAAGAAGGAGACAAAATGACTGCTGTAGCTGAACCCAGGACACAGAGCCATCACCCTTTCTCTCCAGGCATTAGCTACAGCACCTCTCACTTCACAGCCAGCAGAAACTGTGGCCTGGCCAGAACCAAACTGTTTCACAGCCAAGGCACTGCACTGTAACACGCTCCCCAGACATCAGGGGTTTCTGCAGCCTCCCACAGCGGCACTGAGCAAAATTCACCCTTGGGGACAAACAGGGGTTCACTAGCAGGGCCATCGGCAGCAAGTCTGCCCTGGGACAGTTGGCACCTGCCTGTCTGGGGTAGGCAGAGACCCCAGGACAAGCTTTTGCTGCTGTCCTGTCTGATGGACTTGGAGCCACGTGCCTCTTGCTTTGCTCCCTGCACTGATCACTGCTCTGAGAAGCTCAGAGGAAGACAGGGACAATCCCTACAAGCCACTGCAGGTGGCACTTGTGGGTAGATGAGGGGCTGGATTTGCAGCAGATGGAACAAGTCTCCACTGCTGCACACAGTCCTGCGCAGCACCTTACTCTGTAGGTGATGTGTATGGAGGTTGCAGGAACAAGGTTGCCATGTCAAGGCAGAAGCAGAAGATCAGGTCTCTACTCACCCGTGCCAACACGCTGCCTTACCGTCAGGAGGTACTTGTTCCCACTGGGATCTGTGAACTCCAAGTCCTCTGGTTTGACTGAGCTGCTCCACTTCTTTTTCTTCTTCTTCTGCTTCTTCTCCCTCTCCTCTCTCTCCTCATCCTCTTGATCTTTGAGCTTGACAAAGGGCCACCAGCCCCTCATGCGCTTGTTTCGGAAGATGGAGAAGCGCGGGGTCGCGTTCTCCTTGGCCATCTTGATGGTGCAATGCTCTGAGCTCTTGGCTGCCCGCACCATGTCATGCAGCTTCAGCTCAATGGACCCTGCAGGGAGAGTGAAGAGGAGAGCTCATGGTGAAATCCCCACACACGATGTGGCTTTCTGCCTGAGCCATGCTCCCACCACCACGAGTAGGCCCCAGCTGCTGCAATGATCTAACAGCATCCTGCAGGTGGACAACATGAAGCTCAGCATAAGAAAGGACCAGCCTAAGAGTTAGAGACTAAGACACAGAAGCCACAGGTCTTGTCTCATCTCTGATATGGCCAGTTGGGTTATTTTCCCTCCTTTACCACACCAAAACCTGCTCTCCTCATGTGTCCAAGCTCCTCTTCCCCTCCCTGCAAATGTCAATCAGAAACATAAAATCTGGGAAACTCTTTAAAGGTTTCAAGTCTGTCTCACATCTGGAACAGCCCCAGTTCATCTCGTTGCTTGTCCTGAAAACAAGCACCAAGGCCCTGGGACAAGCGTGCAAGTTCAGTGTGTCCGGATAGGAGAGCTGCATCTCTCCAGGCTCTGCCTGTATCTCATATGTGAAAAACCACCCCAGGTGACTGCTGAGCTTGATCTGATGCTCCTGGTGTCCCTTCTTAGAGAGCTGAGCCCCAGGGAGACACTGTAATACTCCAGCAAGGTGTGGGACAGGTCACCCCTCCAGCAGGTCACACCATACCTAGAAAGTCATTGGCTGAAATCCTGTCGTAATCCCAGACCTGGAGGACCAGAACAGCCGGTTCCCGAAACTCAGATTCCTCTAGAGAGAAGACAGAATCCTTCTTCTTGTAGGTGATCTCCTTCTCAGTCGGGAGATAGTTAAAGCGGAAGATGAACCTCCAGTTGAAATTGCCCTCCCCAGTCAAGGAGTTAAAGTGAACATCTGTCTCCTGCTTGTCGTGGTCGAGACCCTTTATCCAGCTGCAGGAGAAACTCAGTTATCTCTTATCCCTGTCAGCCAGCCCTGAAGGTTGAGCAGAGGATGGAGGGGCTGCAGGAAAGAGTTAAAGAGCCAAACCAGACCAACACCTCTAGGGGTACAGCAGGGGGATGGAATGGGGCACCTCATGGTGAGGATCAGAGGAGGCAGTGAGGGTGTAGAGTAGAGCATGGGGCAGGACAGGACAGGCAGAGAGCAGGACAAGGAGCAGGAGAGGGAGCAGGACAACCAGGCTCTGGCCTCCCTCTGGCTCCCATCAGACCTTTTCACGTAGATGTCGCTGGAAGGCTCTCCCGTTATGGGGTTGACATCATCCAGGATCACATCGTCCGTGTTCCAGATGATCACACGCAGCTCGTAGCTGTGGGAAGGACACAGGGGTGAGTGGGACACATGCTGGGAGGGCAGGTCAAACCCACTTCTAGCATGGTGGTTCCTGCCAGGACTCCTCCAGCCAAACACAGCTCAGCAGGCCACTGCCATGCACAAAGCCCTTCCTGGGGGCTACAACCCACAGGACAAACACCCAGAGTCACAACAGGCAGCTTTTGCTAAGCAAATCCCTGGGGAAAGCCAACCAGCTCCACTGGGCCACAGGAGCACAGAAAGGCTCAGGCAGGAAGGGACCTCTGCAGGCTCTGCTCCAACCCCTCACTCTAACTTCATAGTAAATCCGATTTCTCAGGGCTTTGTCTGCATGAGTTCTGAATATCTCCAAGGATGAATATCCCAGCATCTCCCTGGGTCATTCCATCCCTACCCGAGGATAGCTTCACTCTCAGTAGGAAAATGTTTCCCTATATCGAGTTGGAATTTCCCTTGCTGCAATTTGTGTTCATTATCTCTTGTGCTTTCATGTGCACCCTGAGAGGAATCTGCCCCTCCATCTCAATACGCCCATTAGGTCACTGCAAACAGCAGATCTCCTCCTTCAGCTTCACTTCAACAACCCAAAGGACATCTGTACCACAAGCCAAAACAGAGCCAGATGAGGGGCTCTGACCTGGGTTTCTACCACCTTCATGTTCAGCCTTAGAGAGATTAAACCTGCCCTTCACAAACACTTGTGCAGCTGAAGCTCTGGTGTCCTGAGCTGATACACCCCATGGCTGGAGCTGAAGCAGAGGAGCTGCATTCCAGGCTAGCACAGCCTGGGCAGGACTCTGTGGCACATCCCACCAGGCATGGTGTGGGACAGTGGCCCTCCTGCAGCCCACCAGCCCCATCCCATGGGCACTACCTGACAGGCAGCCGTGGCTTGATATTGACCGGTGGCGGAGCAGGGACATCATTTGGGAACATGTCAATCCACATGTGCAAGGAGCCCTGAGAAGGCAGCAGAGAGACTTCAAGACAGAGCACCTTCCAGCTGGTCTTCATGGAGCTAGAGCTTGGTCCTGCAAGGAAAGCTCTCGCCAGAAAGCCACTGCTTGGCTTTGTCCTTCCCCAGCACTTCAGTGACATTGGACTGGATTTTAGATAGGGAAAAATTCCAAACTACCCAAAATGGCCCATTTTCCACCCCACCCTGCTCCAAGGGAAAACATTTCAGCTGAACTGAGTCCACTCAGACACAAACGTGTCCCTTTATGTTAACATGAAGTAGGTGATGATGTAATGTTTCAGCATTACCAAGTAAACCAAAAACTGATGGATCTGACTCTGCCCACATGTGCTTCCAGTGCTCACCAAAGCCAGAGTGGCTGCAGAGCGCTGCTCCGTTACCAGCCTCTCGTACCTGCGCAGCAGGAGGTGTTCAGTGCAGGCATTGGAATGGTTGAGCTCAGATCCCTGCGCTGCATAAAACTGAGGGTGGATGATTCTCCTCCAGGCAGCAGCCACACTGTGCCCCACGGGGAAGCCAAGAGGGCGGAACAGGGCTCTTACAGGGTAGCAAAGCAGCAGTGACAGAGACAAAGCAGAATTGGTACCACAACACTGATGACAGAGGTCCCTTGAGGAAAGGGTGTTCAGAAGCACCATGAAAGGTCAGAGGAGTGAACCTGAGCAAAGGCCACCCAAGGCCAACAGTCCTCATTTCACAGCAGGGACAGCTTCCACAGACACAGCTCCAGCTGCCCACCCAGGAAGGGGCAACACATGGGATTCAGGCCATGACAAGGAGGAAAACAGGGGCCCAGGGTGGGAACCAGCTGCCCCGAAGGTCCTTCCCAGAGCAATGTCTATGCTGGGCAAGGAAACATCTCACCTGCACAAGTCCAGGGTTCTCAGGGTTGTACAGGGACCGGATCTCCACGTGCTCTGGTACCAGCTTGTATCCGTATCCTGGCATTTCTTCCCAGTGCTGCAGGACGTACAAAGCCTTGTGTTCATCATCCACTGAGCAGTTCTCATCCGCTGCTCCTCTCTTGCTCCTCACAGAGGCCTCTGCAGCAGGACACAGGTAGAAGATGAAGACATCTGGCCAGCAAAAGCCATGTCAGGACAACAGTCACGAGTAAGGGAAGATGTTGGACTGGGTAAACAAGCACCTCCCCAGAAAAACAACATGAGGAGAAGCAGAAGGTGAGGGTGAAGGGGGCAGAAAAGCAGAACCACCAAGTGAGGACAAAATGATCAACCCACCCCTGGGTTTATGAAGAGCATCTGCCCTTTGGAGATAAGACTGAGATCGAAACCATCCCAAGCAGTCCCTGAGCACAGTAGAGGTTCACAGGGCACTGACTGCAGCCACATTTGAACCAGAGCCAGCTCTCAGGGGAGCACCAGGAACACACCTCATTTCTCCCTTTCCAGGTACCCACTGACCTGAGAAAGGGGAAAAAGGGCTTTTGGAGGCCACCAGAATAAGCTACACCATCAACCCCTGTTCATATCACCGCCATGCAAGTGAGTTTACTTTGCTCCATCCACTTTGGGACCTAACAGCCTGGGTCACATCCTCCCCCAGAGCAACACCATCACCCACTGAAACCAGGCTACTGAGCATGAAGGATGCTTCCCATGGTGATCCAGCCAGCCTGGTTGGGTTCCCAGGCCTCTCCCCAGCACATGCACTGCTGAGCACAGGCAGCTGTATAATGGAGCAGCCATTGCCTCGAACTCTCTGTACCTTCAGGAAAAGCTTCTGGAGGGACCTTGAATATCTTCTTGTCCACCTTGACCTCCTCCCATCTGTACTCTGCTGCAGGGAGTGAGTTTTTCTTGCATAAACTATCCAAGATCTGTGTGGGTTTGAAAGCGTCTCGCCACGAGTTGTAGCCATTTCTGCGTGGAAGGAAGAACATTGAGAACATCTTCAGCTTAGACACAACAGGTTCTTATCCTAGGCTGTGCTTTCACTACAGCACAGGCTATGCCACCAGATCCCTGCTCAGATTTCCACTGGGAAAACCACAGGCACACAAAAGCTCTCCTGCCCCAGAACAAGCTGGGCTTGCACCCCATGGAACCATTAGCTTCAGAGCAGCAGCAGGAGCAATTCCAGCTGCAGCTTCTAAATAGGAGAGAGGTTTAAGCAGTGCTGGGAACTCAACTCCACGCCCACAGCTCATTCTCCAGTAGGAGAAGAGAATTTTACAGAAAACTGGCCAAAAGGCACCAGAGAATCCAAAGGAAAGCAGATGTCACGAGTCTTGCTGCTCACAGAATCAGCTGCTGCCAGAGAAACCACTCTACTCACATCAAAATCACACCAGTGTCAAGTGAGGCTTTTCTCACAGGACACCAATACGAAATCATTAAGGTATTTTTTGCTACTATATGCAAAATATGTTAGTCTGCAGTGGGGATTAGAGCTATCACAGGAAGCTGGTAGGAATATAGAGGAGATGGAGTTACCCAGGTAAGTGAATCTGTGGGGCATCTGCTTATAAGGAAACTGCGTGCAAGCTCCATCCTGCAAAACCGGAGGTGTTTTGCTACCCACCCAAACAGTAGGTGAGAAGAACGAGGGCATCTCAAGGCCCTGATGCATCACACACTGGTACCTACATGTCATACTGAGAAGCCACTCCACAGTTGGCCCTGTGCTTGCTGTAGAACCGATTCTCCAGGTCAATCTTGGTCTCCCCAATCAGATCATCAGATCCAACCAAATCATGGTCGAATACTGCCACAGTGAGCTCCGATTCCACGGGAAATGAGACAGTCAGCTCCACCACTCTGCATAGAAGCAGACGGGGAGAGTGCAATTAGCAAAGAGGATGGAAATGAAACACATGCTCTGCTTTGATTATCCTACTCATTTACGAACTGTATTGGACAACCCCCAGACCTCTGATAAAGTTTGGTTCTCCATAATTCAGTGTGTGAATTTCACAGTGCAGCAGTTTTCAGTGCGCACGTTCAAACAAAGGAGTTACTTCTCCAGAATGCCCTTGGATAGAGGTCCTGGAGCTAGGGAAAAAGCTCTCCAACACTCTGTTACTCCCTGGCTTGCTACTTGTCTGTTAAATCAAGCCCTTGAGAGTGCTCCCCTCTTAACCCAACACTTATGGCTCCTCTGTTTCATACTATTCCTGTTTCCAGATTCCAATTTCCAGATTCATCCCAAATTCCAGATTCATACTATTCCTGTTAAACCTGCTAGATGAAAACTTCCTGCATACTCTCCAAACACAGGATTGAGCTGCTTTGGGATGTAGCGCTCCTTTGTGTCCTTCTGCTCCTGCCCCACAGTCACCACCACATAGGGATCTGCCTTGCCATTGGGGTCGGCTGGAGACAGGTTGGTAGCCTGGAATACACAAGAAGAACTGCCTTACACCAACTGCAGAGAACAACCTGCACAAGGAACACTGCAGAGGCCACCCAAGCCCACTGTCAGGGCTCCCCAGCAGTGAAACCAGCACTTGCTCCCATACAGATCCCCAGTCAATGAGCCACCAATGTCTCCAGCAGCTGCCCAACTACTTGCTCATGGCCTCAAGGCAAATTAGAGGAGCCAAGAAAATGCCCATCTGAATGTTAGCACCTGCTGAAGCTGCAAAGCATGGAAGGCTCCCCATGGAAAAGATGCAGCTGACTTGCCCTGGGCTTTCAGAGCCTTCTAGCCAGCATCGAGCTTGTCACAAGTGCCACTGCTCATATTTGCTGAGCAGAGAATGGCAGGAGGTCCCCAGGGAGGGACAGACCTCTGAGCATCACTGCCACCACCGCCAGGTTCTTACCTTAACAATATAAACCCTTACAAGAACCTTGATGGGTCTGTTCCTTGGAACACCCCAAGAGACCCTGGGCTCCGTGCCCGCTTCCTCAGTGGGGTAGACATAGAAGGAGCCCTGCAGGAAAGACACTTCAAGTAACAGCTACATACAAAAGCGAGAATCTTAGACGGGACTGGAGCCACTATGGGAACAGTCCTTTCCAAAGGCACAGTCATGTCCACATGGCCCAGGCAGTCCCTGTTTGCAAGCCAGGCTGGAGGCTCTCGGAGCACTGCCAACGCCAGACCTGAACATCTCCAAGCACTTTGGACTGCCAAAGGCAGGGGGCACCAAAGGTTTTCTAAGGACCTTCTTAAAACAACTTCTGTAGCTGATATTTCAGTCTTCAAGAGCTCCTGGGTGGGAGGATGATGCCTCTTTTAAACAAGTTTTACTAATTTTAAAACCAGGGAAGCTCACTAATTCTTATTTGTACACTGAACATTCCCAGAGGCCCCATAAGAGTCCTTTAGGCTGCATGCTTTCTCCTTGTAAGAGCTAAAAACATCTGTATCAGGTGCATTTATCAACTAACAGAGGACCACAATACACAATTGCTTCAACACTACCAACAGTAAATGGCCATGCCACACCATGGCCACATGGCACCTTGCACACATGTGCACTCTCCAAGGCTTTCCTGGTGTTGGCAGGCTCTGGAACACAGGTTGCCCTAAGGATTTTCTTCCACAGGCAGCACAAATGGCATTCAAATGATACAGTACCTTGTACTTCCCTACAAAATGCTCATCCTCATTTCCATCTTCTTCCTCATTTGCCTTGCCACGATGGAGGGGGAAAATACACAGCCAGTCTTCAAAATGACCAAACTCATTTTCCAGCTCAGAGCTGTAGATCTGGAACAAGTAGAAAGTCATTTTGCGGCTTTTCCTGCCATCTTAAAGGGGAGGAGAGTCAGAAAGACCATCATTTCCCTGCTTCAACCACTTCACCTGGTCCTCACCAGGGAGGTGAGAAGGACACACACAAAGGGCTGGATCTGTCACCCCAATAATCACCTGAAGGGTGGCAATGAGCTTCCTCTTGGGTCGAGCAGGTTCAGCTTCAATCACTGCCTCATCTTCTGCTTCCATGTCAATGGAGGATGCATTTAAATTGCCTCCATCTAGAAATGGCAATAAAGGATTAGGAAATGATGTTTTCTCCCATCATCTCAAATGTCCATCCATGAAATGACCCCAGCAACAGCTTTTGCTTCCACCCAGGGCTGTGGCCTGTGACAGGGTAACTGGAGCTATCACTGTCTGTAACATCCTTACAGCATCTCGTGCTCCTGCATGGCTGGATGGGTGGCACAGATTCTGCTCTACCCTGACAATCCCATGCTCTTGCAGCTGGGTTTTCTGCAGGTTTTTGCTCAGAAAGCTGTTGCTTCAGCACAATTTTCCAACATTATCTGAGGAAATGTTGGTGTTTTCAACTCGAAATAGCATTTGTTAACCATTGCCAATGCTTCCAGTCTCTCTGCTGCCTTTTGTGCTGTTTCTGCTGAATGCTGCAAAACTGTTGTCTGCTCAGACCCCATTCCCACAAAGCCCAGCACCCTCTGGGATGGTTTAAGCCTTGTCTTTCCCCACAGAAGAGCTGGGTATTGCCAGAGAACTCACCTGCATCATTCAGGTCATCGTTCTCAGCATCTTCCTCATCACTGCGTGTCTGAAACACACACAAACAGTCACCCCACATCCCTGACAGCAAAGGCTTCCCACCCAAGCACAGGACGCTGTCAAATCTTTCCTGCCAGCAGAGTCAGTAATATCTAGCCTGAGATCGTTTAATATTAACATCATTGCAGGAGGTTATCCAGTGAGTGCCTTAAGGACATTTTCTTCTCCCCAGATCCTCCTGCTAGCTTTTCTGTTTTTAAGGGTCATGGGCCAAAGAAAGAAATTAGGGCAGACCCATAGCACATCCTGGCAAGACAGCTCTCATGGAACATTACCTGGTTATACAGCTCCTTCAGGGACTCGTAGTATTTGGACCACCAATCCAGCTCTTCCAGCTCTGGTTTTTCCTCTTCATATTCTTCCTCCTTCTTTACAAGCTTATTGATAGGAATTTTTTTCAAAGGAGCCTTAAAAGAACAGAGAAAAGGGTTCAGAGGGAGGAAACCACCACCCAGGACCCCCATGTGCCCTGGGAGCCTCTGCCTCAGCTTCCAGGCAGAGCATAAGATGCATCCTGCAGCTCCAGGTCTGTGCTTTGCTACAGAAGCAAAGGCACAAGGAAACACACCTCTGCTCCCTGTGCCTGAGCCCAGACATGCAGCAGTGTTGATGAACAGGCCGGAGAGAGGAGTGTTTGGGACCAGAGCAAAAACCAGTGATTTAAACCCATCTCTGGACTCTCCTGTTTGTTTCTAAACTTTAGGCTTTGTTTCCAAACTTCAGGTTTTGCTGGGCCCAACACACCACTCACCTTCATAAGACTCAGGGCGTGAGTGCTGGGACCTGGGTCGATATTTACCACAGTATGAGAGGGAAGACGCTGGGATGAGACTTTCCGAGCTGAAATAAAGAGAAAGATTCGTGTTTCCATGTGTTTATTTCTGCCCTCTGCTTCCTACCTTTTGGTCAGTTTTTATTCCATAGGAAAACTCTCCCTGTTCCCCACTATTATGTGATTACTTTTAAAGCTTTTAATAGCAGACCCTGCATAAACATTGGAAACCCAGCTACAGTGCTGAGAGCAGCCACCACCGACACACTTATTGCTGACTACCACGAACATAGATGTACAAGATACACCTTCCCTACTCAGAGATGACCACAGATCAATCAATCTTCTTCCTCCTTGTGCTGTGTTTATTTACACACCTCCAGATCACGAGCTCTGGCTGTTGCTATCACAGAGTTATTTAGTGAATCCGTTGCCCAATGAACAGACCTTGACCCAACGATGTGAGTGAAGCATAAACCTTTCAATCCTTAGTCCTAATGCACCAGCTCCCTAAAGCTTGAAGGAAGTCACTAGAGACAGCTCTGCAGCCCGGCTACACAGAGGGTTGAAAGAGGTGAATACAACAATCCTTCCCAAGCAAAACATCTCTGATTCTAGACACAAACTTTCCACATGAATAAGTTACTGCCCCAGACACGAATAAGTATCTAGCCCCAGCTAAATGTCTGCTGGACTAAGACATCTTCACCAGTCATTTTCCCCTCTCTACTTGCTGCAAATGTAAGGCAAACAGTGCCTGGGAAACAGACCCTGAGGAGACACCACATCCACAGATGAACAGTCCTGGTGCTACAGTGGGGAGGAAAATGTTAAGCTAATCTTGGAGAAAAGTCTGTAAATTGCCCTTTGCCATCCCCAAATTGGGATGCCAGCCCTTACACAGCACTCCATCACTTGGCTGCTGCTGTTTCCCAAACACCAGTCTGGAAACAAGTACTACAGACCAGGATCACAACCTGCCTCCAACCCTAACCTGTCCCACACTGTACTTCTACTAGGCATCTTGTAGCTCTTGGGAGAGGACTTTAGTGCCTGGCTAGGAGGGAAGGGAAGGGCCAGGGGTCTCTGCCACTGGATCATCTGCTGCCTCAATGGGATCCTCACCAAGCAGCTCACCTTTGGGCACATCTTCTGGTTCCTCCTCCAGCTCTCTGGGAGAGAATTTCATCACATCGGACACAACATGGGTACCCACCATCACAGTGCGCCCAAATGCCCGCTTTTCCACCACGAAGATGCTGAGGGGAGGGTGCAGGTAGACCTGCTCTGGGAGCTCCTGCACAAGAACCACACAAAGAACCTGTAAACTGGGGTTTGCAGGTGATACCCACAGCAGCCCTACCACATGTGGGGAGATCTGATGGTGCCTTGCAGCTCTGCCCCAAAATCACAGCCTTGCAGTGACAGGTGACGCTGAGGCTGCTTTGGGTGGGCAGTTTCATAAAGGTTTTGTTGTTCGGCTGAACCATGTGGCCACAGGAGAGCAAAACCCCCGGGGCAGCTCCCCTCCTGTGACCCTGCCCATGCAGACAGGCAGCGCATGGGTGCAAAGCGGCCACTCACCACGTCCATGTATTTGACCAGCTCGGTGAAGTTGGGGTTCTCTTTGTAGGGGATCACCTCTGACTCCACCTTCTTGCCAGCACATTCAATGATCACCTGGGGCTGATCCACCTCAAACAAGTTCACCCGCTTCAGGTCCCGCAGGCCCCAGAAGAGGATCTGAAGCACAAGAAGAGAGGCATGAGGCTACTCTCCAACCCAACCACACAACAACTCTACTGCTGGTGACATGAGACTGTTTCTCCCTCATGTCAAGCACCTCCATTTCTCATCTGCTCAGGCCTCGCAGGCACATGTGAGCTCCAAACGGACTCCAGCCCGCTGGGACGCAGCGCACCTCTATGCGGAACTCCTTCAGCGCCGGGCGGATGCCCTCAGGGATGAGGAACCGTCCATCGTGGGGGTCTCCCAGGTAGTCAGGCTCCTTGGGCTCCACGTCCTCGGGCACTGATGGCTGAACAGGCAGAGCCAGCGGACACCAAGTGATGAAAACCACCTCTGCTTCATGTCATGCCCTGTCTCCCTCCCTCTTTATCTGTGTTCACAGGCTCTGTCCCTGCAGTCTCCCTTCAATTCAAAGCCAGACGTGGCTTTCAACAGGGGATCATCTGGTGGGTCCCACACAACCAGAGAGCAAGCAGCCATGTAGAGGTTCCTGCAAGCCTGTTACCTCCAAATAGCCGCTGTAATCCAGCTCAATGAGCTCAAAGCTGGCAATGAGCTCTCCCGCTGCTTTGGTGCCCTTGTAGAAGTCAAAGAACTGCAGGGCAGGTTTGGTGTATGGCTCATCCACCAGCTTCACCCGCGGGACTGCAAAGGCCTGGCCGAGGAACTCAGGGGACCCCTGCAGGAAAGGAGGAAATGGGCTAAAGCATCCCTGTGTCATCCCACCACTGCAAACACCACCACTAATTCCAGCCAGTCTGGGACAGTACAAGACCACTCTTCCACCCTTGCCATCCTCTGCTTTGATTTCCTCTGCTCCATCCAGAGCCAGGAGCAGAATAGATGTGCCTGCAGCAGGACCTCTCAACTCCCAGTCCATCTCCATGCAGAACTGGGTGAACAGCTTGGCCAGGCACCAGAAGACGTCAAAGCTAGATCAGGGTGCTCAGTGTCCTCCAACCAGAGTGTTAATGTCTCTGAGGACAGAATCCCACAACCCATCTGAGCTCCAGCCCAGTGTTTGAACTCCCTCTGAGTCAATGTTGCTTCTTTATATCAAGTTGCATTTTTCTCTGGTTCCAACTTGTGTCCGTTGCCTGTCACCCTGCCCCTGGGTACCTCTAAAAGAAGTCTCCACCTGGCAGCTGCAGGCAGCACTCAGGCACTGCCTTTGCTTCATCTTCTCCAAGCTGAATATACCCAGGCGTCCACCTCTCATCCTGTCCTGTGCTCCAACCCCAATCTGCTTTCCCTGGCCTGGGAACTACGGCAGGAGGGCAGCATGGCCATACTTACAAAGTTATTGTGGCTGAAAAGGTTGATGATAACAATGGGGGTCTCTGTTTTCAACTCTTCTTTTTTCCCATCTATAATGAGCTGGTCAAACAGAAGTAGCTCATTCCACATGGGGCTCAGTGTCTCCTCCAGCATCTGCAGGCAGAGACAGGAGATCTGGGCATACCACAGCCAGGGGAAAGAAACCACATGCACTTCCTAAAGAGAGTGGACTGATCCCCTCCACCATGAAGCCACACACAGACGGTGCCTTGCAGGAGGGGACATAGATGGTATAAGCATGAAATCAGCACCTTGGAACAACTAGCACAGGCCAATGAACCTTTGAGACCACAACATACATGCTTTGACAATGCTCCCTGAACAGAATCACACCAACCAGCACATCAATACACCTCACACCTGGAGTTACAGGATTTCCTGGGTCACTGCCACAGCGCTGGCCTTCAGCACGTCAGTGAGGACATGGGGGTTTTCTCTTCCCAAGCCCCCAAGAAGGCATAAGCGAAAGCTCAGTGCTCTTACCCTGGTGGTTTGGCAATAAGTTGAAAACACCACTCTTGCAAATGGATCTGAAAGGCCATTGTCATCTGCAGGGAGGATCCCTCGAGCCTGGTACAGATGTGCTCGGAGCTGGAAATAGCTGAAATCTGGTGAGAAAAAGAGAAGGTCCCAGTTCCCCAATTCCAGCCCTGCGTGGGGCCAAAACAACGCATGAAGAAGAGGGTCAGCCAGGCAGGAGTGGGCACATCCTGCAATGAATAAGTACCACTTCTAGGGGCACTCCCTGTGGTTTTCGGAAAGCCAGCACATCTCAAAAGGTTTGGCCAAGCAAGACAAGATCAGGAGACTCCCCAGATGCCCCTGAGAAGCACATAACATGTGAGATGTACAGTGATCTGCTGTGAGCATCTTCTGGGAATGGGGACACCACAAGGACTCAGAGAAAGGGAAAGACCTTGTGCCCATTACTACTTCAAAGCATAATCAGTGCCTACAAACACCCAGCTGCCTGCTGCTCCAGCTGTGAGTGTGTAAACGTGTCCTCACGAGAGCAGACTGGACCTGCCTGTCCCTGTCATGGCTTAGAGATGATGTGGCGCTAACAGATGAAATCCTGCTCCTCGGACACCGACCCTGGGGCAGCACCTCTCACCTGTCTGCTCTTCTGCTCACGGTTAAGCCATGGAAAAGGAGCATCTGCACTCACCATCCCGGCTGAGCCGGCTGGGAGGGCTGTATGCTGAGAGCTGGGCTATCTCCTGTCCGCTCTCAGAGAGGGACTTGAACTCCTCAGGCAGCTCCACCAAACAGTTCTTCGCATATTTGGTTATCCCAAGCCACATGTAGATTTCCAGCTTGGCAAAGATCTCACCAGTGTGTACGCCAGGCACCTGGAAGCACAGGAGGTTTAGCAGCTTTCCCACATCAGCCATACCCCTTTCAGACCAAGGTGATCATCATCAGCCAGGAGACACAGCTCCACATTGACAGTCGTGGAGCAAGAACTGTGTTTCCTTGTGAGCTCCAGGATTTCACAAAGGAGGGCTGGAAGCAAGGAGGGAGAAGCAGCACAAAGCAAGCAAGAGCGCACCGGTTTGGTATAAGCCCTACCTTCATAAAGACAGTCTGGATCTTTGCACAGTCCTTGCCCTTCTCCTCTTCAACTACTGAGTAGAGGATGTTCTGTGCAGGAATTCTTGCATATGCCACACGCTTGCTGTTGCTGAGCATCCAGATGAGTATGTCGGGCAGGGTGCACTGGGGCTACAGGGGGGAAACAGGAATATCACAGCAGAGGAACAGCACATACCTTGTCCTCCCTCCACTGACACAGTAAAAGCAAACATTCCCCCCTTCCTTCTTCTTCCCTCAGCTTTATACATTGAACATGATGCTGTATGGTCTGGGATATGCCTTGGGTCAGTTGGGGTCACTGTCCCAGCTTTGTCCCCTTCCAGCCTCTTGTGCACCCTCACCCCACTTGCTGGTGGGTAAGAAGCAGAAAAGGCCTTGATCTATGTAAGCACTGCTCAGCAATCAGGAAACATTCCCATGTTATCAACACTGCTTCCAGCACAAATCCAAACCATCACCCCCATACCAGCTACTGTGAGGAAAATGAACTCTATTCCAGCCAAAACCAGCAGAGCAGGTTTCTTGGAGGAATCTCTGATCCACCTTGTTTGAAATTGTGAACACCAGCAGGATGCACTGAACCCCACAGCATGGTGAGGAGAAGGACCCCTCATAAGGCTGGAGAAGAGGCATTTTACCCCACACCTTTACACAGGAGCCCAAGTGCTGATGCATGGGAGGAAACCGCATTAGCTGACATCCAGCAACACGGGTGCCCAGCATAAAGCTGCAGTTCAGGCTGAGAGCAGGACTTGCACTAAAGCAAACGCACAGATGGAAGCAATGACTTCTTTTAAACTCTAACCCACGTTCTCTTCCCCATCTCAGTTTCACCTGTACTTGGTACTTGTAGTTGTTCAGTACTCAGGTACCTGAAGCAATTTATTACTGATCTCAACCAAGACCAGCAGCCTCCATACAGGGGCTAAAAGTGGCAAGTGTATGGGCAGGACCGACTCTGCAGAGCCAGCAACATTCCCACTGGATGGCAGGAAGCGCCTTCATCTCCTGCTTGGAAACGGGGTGCCCCGGGGGCAGCTGTACCTCTTTAGCCATGAAGCGCAGCTTTGCCAGGATCCTCCTTGTCTCCTTAAGCTTCTCCTTAACGTTGGCTCGAGTCAGCCGCCGCTTCACACGGAGCCCCTGCTTCGCATACAGGATCTGCACAGAGAGAGCACGGTGTCAGATGCCATGAGCCAGGCGTGCTGATCGCATCCATCCCACCTCATCACACCCTGACCTCCACCATGTCTCATATGTATAAGGAATAAGCGTAAGAAGCTGGTGGTCTAAAGCTCCAGAGAGTACCTGGAGCAGGATTTGCACAAGCAGCAACTTGGAGCCACAGAGGTATGGGAATACAGAGATGTACGAGACTCAAAGATGAGCCTGAGCTTTCATGTCCATTAGATGACAGCGTACACATGCGAGAAGAGACTTTGTGATGAACCGAAACTAACAAATCCAGAAGGAATTCTGGGTGCAAACACAGTGTGGACTGACAAGGCCAGAAAACTCATCTCTTGGGCTGGTTCCATTTTTCAGTCTTAGACTTAGCAGAGTACCTTCTCTGTAACTCATGTGATGATGTATGGGGAAGCAGAGGGAAGGGAGCTGGGACCCAGCCATGCCTACATTTCATTTCCTCGTTGCATTTTGGTCAGCTTTTCAAAGCATTGTGGTCTGATGGGGACTATGACTACAGCTGTGCTGTGATGAAGGGTAGGTAACTGTGCTCCCATTCAGATAGCTGGCCTTGTCCGCAGGATTATGACAACCTAGATGATGCCCACGCTGGGGACAGGCAGATAGGTGGCTGTTGTAGGTTGCCTGGATGGGTACGTGGCCTATGGGCTGAGTTTCCAGGGGCAGTGGGTCTCAGTGAGCTCCTCCAAAATTGTCTGAAGGAACAGCCTGCACCAAAAGGGCACCAGCAGCTTACTGGGCAGCACCATGCATGTGCATCAAGGCACAGCATCTGCATAGAACTGGAGGCAGCCATGGCCAGTCCCTGCCTCCCTTCCCTGTGCTGGAAGCTGTATTGCTTTGAGCAGAAGTGGGAGGTACTGCAGTAAAAGCCTGTGACTGATCCCATGAGTCTTAGCCCCAGGTTTCCCACTTAGCATCAATTCTAGCTGGTGTTCCAGCAGCATCCCCAGAGCAGGGATCATGCAGGTTCCCACCACCCAAGCCCTACCACTTACGATGTTGCGCATCAGGTATTTCGTCCGACATCGATCAAGGTTGTTTGGATGTGCCATTGTTTTCCTCTCTGCACCGAGTGAATACTGTCTGCAATGAGAAAAGCAGCACAGGCTTTGCATGCCCTGCTCCCAGGAAGCAGACCACAGCTCGCACAGCAGGGCCACATGTCTAAAAATCCCTGGCACTAACGCAGACGCATCAGGAACCACCCTCTCTGCAATGTCTTCACTTCTGCAAGCTTTTTATTCAGAAAAGGGGTTTCTCAGGACCCGAGGCTCCCTTTCTGCCCAGGCAGAGTGTGATATGAGCTCCCAACCTAAAGCAAGAAACCTTGGGAAATCAGGGACGTGCTAACCTGCATCCAGCTACAAACTCCTCCAGCACCTCTCGGAACGGCCCTCCAGCACCTCTCGGAACCGCGCTTCTGCTTTAGCCTTTGGCCTTCTCACAAGCTTCTCCACGTCATCCAGCCCCTGCTCCTGTGGGGAAAGCACAACATTGACAGAGCTTGTGCCTGGCTATGGGGTCAGAACAAAGCATTTCAAGGATGCACTTGGCATAAATGGCTTGTGCCCTTCTGTGGGGCTGGGGATTGTGAGACTGCCGCAGGTCATCTCTCTCTGCTGGGGACTCTCTGAAGCCTGGGGATAACCTTAACACTGGTGGTTAAAGCACCGTGTGGCTCAGCCCCTGAGCAGCCACTGAAGCACATGGGAAGCTCTGCTTTCAGATTTCTAAGTCTGAAAGGGAAAGATGAGGCCCTGGGAAGACACTGCACCCCGCTGATGACAGCCCAAGGCTGAGAGTCTGCTTGCGGCAGCATCTGCCCAGCACATGCAGCTCAGCACATGCAGCTCAGCACATGCAGCTCAGCACTGGCATCAGAGGAGATTTTTGTCACAGACATCGTGTCACTCACAACCCCCGAGCCACCACGGCACAGCACGGGCAGAGGCTCTGCACACACATCTAAAGGGAAGGTGGGACTGAGCCCTGCGGGACACGGGCTCGCACGGAATGGGGGGTGAGGATGTTTGAGGCAAACGTCTCACAGAGTAACTGGATGTGCTGCAAGGAAAGCAGACCAGGAAAAGGGTGCCACAGCCACCCTGGACACACTACCAGGCGCTCTGCCAGCTTGACAATCCGGTTGGAAATGCAGAGTCTCCAGGTATGATCCTCCCAGTAGCTCCACACGTACACACAGGGTTTCTCATGCGTCAGGGGCAGGCAGCTGTATGACCTGAGGGCAGCAGGCACAGGGGGTTATGCTGCTGTCACACACCATGTCACAACACAGGGAGCAGCGTCTGGGCTCTGTCTTCCCATAGAGAACTGGCTCTCTGGGCCCTGCACCATGGACATGGATGCAAACTGCTGGATCTGCCCTCTGTCTCCCAAACTACTGCACAGTTTCTAGCAGACAGCAGCATGTGCCCCAGTGGAATGAAGCTGATGGGAGCATGGGATGCTGCAGAGACTTCTTGCTGCTATGGGATTGAATAGTAGCAGGCACAGTGCTCATGGACATTGCCAGGCCTGTGGGACAAACCAGGCAGCATTCACAGAGCAAGCGTATCAGAAAACTTGTGTATGCGTCTTGCCTGCCCAGCACAGGATAGCATGTGCCAGAGCACTCCTCTCCTTCCTCCTCACTGGAATCAAGCCCTTAAGATGCCGCTTCTCAACCAGAAAAGGGGCTGCTGTTATTGATGGGTCACAGTTTCCCTGGGACAATGTCCTTGGCCACCTGAGTGCATCAAGCAGACACTGTAGGGCCTGTAGGGCTAATGGGCAATGGCAAGGTGAGGGTTTGCAAAGAGGAGAAACACCTGCACAGCACCGGCACTGCTGAGCAGACCTCTCCACATCTGGAATAACCAACCTGAGAAGCTGAGGCAGGACCAGGGAAGGTGGGAAAGAAGAACAAAGACTCACCTATCATACTCCATGGGCTCTGGTCTCTGGCTTTTTGTCACTGACTTGTTCAGTACCGCTGAAGGTGGAGCCAGGACTTCAACATCCAGCTCACCATCTGAACCAGAGTCCAGCAAAGGCTGCTTGTCTTCTTTCACTTCTCCCTTTTCCACTTTTCTCCATGCTTTGGTCACAACCTCCTCAGCTTTGCCATAGTTTCCTTGAAGTTAAGCATTAAACAGATAAGTGGGATCACTGTTAAATGAGTTTGCTATCTCACAAAATCAGAGTGTGACAGTCCTGTCAGGAGAAGCACATGGCCATGCACTGCTCTTGGAAATAGCAATTCAGCAGCACCCAACCACCAGAGCATCACACAGATAACCAGGAGGTCTGAGAGGGAGCTGGGTAATTGTAAGGAAGTTCTTGTGTATGCTGTCAAGTTCCACCAGCTCCTCCAGATGCTAACTGCCATCTATACCCCTACACTAGGGTCAGCAGCAGTCACTCAGGAAGACCTCTCAGCATCAAGCATCTCCATCCATCCCGCTTAGTAGGTGAGGGCTGGGACCCGCTCTCCTACTACTGATTCCCCATCACCCACTGTCACAGCCCCTCACCACCACATGGCCAACCCCAGAATCCCAGTTCTCCTCCTCTGCTTCCCTCTCTTGCTCCCAAACCCTTCTCCCTCTTCTTGCCCTCACTTCCCAGGAGAGCTTTAACTGTTCTCCACAAACAGGCAGTTCACACAAATACTGCAAATCTCCAATCCCATAGGAGAGCATCCAGACTTTTAAGATAATTAAGGCACTCCCTGACTTCATCTTCCATCCTTCTCGAGTTCGTGTTTCAGGGGCATGAGCTGTGCAAGGGCTGGCACCTCAGGACTGCAGTGGTGACTTGGGCTGTTCCCATAGTTTCTGGACACAGGGTCCTGGGGAATACCCACCTATAGAGACTTCAAAACTGACAGGCTTCGAGCTGAGAGAGGAGTCCATCATAGTGGCTTCAAAGAAGGCAGCAAAGAGAAGGAATTCCTCCTTCCTCCCCAACGCGTTCTGAGCAAGGAGACAGAAATCAGCCTGAGAGCCTTGTGTGCCAAAACGCTGCCTCTCAGCAGAAACTGGGAGAGCTCCAGCGCCTGCCAGGCTTCCCCACAGATACCAGTGGGATGCTGCCAAGGTCACCACCGCTGGGCATAGTGGAAGTTTCCTTGGGAATCCCTAGAGATTGGTGCAGAGCCATGCCTTTCGCTGACGCTTGTGCGAAGCCACCAAGCAGATCTGTAGGCTAAGGGATGGCTTCAACACAGCTGTATCCCGCCTGCCTTTCCCAGGCCAAGGGGAGACCCAGGGCCAGCTCCCTGGCTCCAGGGGACAAAAAGCACATGCTTAAAGGTAGCTGTGTCCTGGGAACAACACCCATGTGAGAGCCCTTCTATGGGATGCTCCAGCCTTACTGTGAGAGGCAGTTTTGAGGCTGAGAGAGCCCTGGATGGTCCAGCAATGGGCAGGCTCCAGCACTCCTGCACCAGCAAGTGATCCCACTGCCAGCAGAGAAGGACTCACCTCGGGGAGTGGATGAAGCTCTTCCACCTCCACAGTGACCTCCTCAGGCTGCTCGACCTCATGAGAGCCCCCAGGCTCCTCCTCTCCCTGCAGCTGCATCAGTTCTTTGGCTTTCTCCTTGGATTTCTTACTTTTCTTCTTCAGCTTCAGCTTGCTCAGGGCACCTTTCATCTTGTCCCCAGGCTTCCTCTCTGCCACGCTGGGGCTGCTGAAGATCTCCACTGTGATGGCCATGAGAACGCGCCCGCGGTAGAAGATCCCCTCGCCCATGCCCTCGTTGAGGTCCTTGTGGATGTCCCGCAGAGCAGAGTTCTGGGGGGAGCCGTACAGGTTCACCCAGGCTGGGCCAAATGTGGGGTTAAAGCCTGCAGCAACAGGGACAGGGGCTAATTACACCACAGGGTGATGATGCACAGAGACCTTCCTCTGAGAAGACAGCCCAGGCCACAGGGATGTGAGTGTGCTTCAGCCTCTCCTGCATCCCACCTCCAGGAGACCACCGTGGCTGAGCAGAGGGTGATGGCATGGGGCTGCCCAGCATGGCCTCAAAGCCTCACCATTCCTGCCAGGGTCAGAGATCTGCTGCAGGTCAATGTAGTGTGTGGCAATGGCCACATCACCAACGTTGGCATCATCCAGCACCTGGACTTTTATCTTCCTGGCCAGAGGTGGGAACATCTCAATGAAGCTGATCTGCTCATTCCATTCAGGCTCAGTGGTGTTGGTCTCCACCGATGTTTCCCCCTGGGAGGAGAAGGTGTGAAAGCTGCACAGCCCCAGCCAGCAGCAGAGCAAGAGGAGCCTCAGAGTCTCTTTGGGAATGGCACGTCCTGTCCTGCCTGCAGACAATGCTGGTAAGACTCTGGACGTGGCGGTGGCTCTTGCTCTCTGTACTTCATCAAGGGCAGCTGTCCCAAAGCCCTGGACTGATTCTCATCTTAAGAGATATCTCAGGACCATAAACCCTGGCCTTGGGTGCAAGAAAAGGACCATTAGCTCAGTAAACTCTCCCAAGGGTGTCAGGCTGAGTCTATTTTGCCACAGGGGACTTCTGCTCCGGGATTTATTTGACCTTACGTTTAGGGGTATGAAATCTCTGCCTGCTCTGCACTGGCTGTGCTCAGGGCTGGGGCTGTCCCCCTCTACAGAGACATAAGTCCCATAAGAACCTCCTCATCCAGACACTGCACATCCATAACCACATGGCTCAGGCCACTGCCAAACACAGCAAGACTTGAGCTCTCCCAGCCATCTCCAGTGGGATTGCTGTGTCCCATGGATGCTCCTGGCAGAATCAGCCCAACACATGGTGCTTCACAGCCAAGGGAGGATCAGCCCCCCGCAGCCCCCTGGCAGACTCACCTGCTGCCCACAGAACAAGACCTGCACATATGGGTCGATAAAGACTCTTTTCTCCCCTATGATCTTGGAGAAACCACCCATGATGCCCGCACTCATGCTGGGCAGGCCCTCAGCACGGTACAGCTTGATGCAGACCCTAGCCCAGGGTCTCTCTGCAGGGACTCTCTTAGGCAGCAGCAGGTTCCTGAAAGACAAATTCATGTGCTGTCTCTTCCCTGGAGCCCAGGAAACACAATGCTGGGAAATGCCCTGACTGGCAGGAGGTTTGGATCCTGCTCCACCACAAGTCTCTTCCCCTGGGTCTTTCCCCATCAAAAGAGGGAAAAATGGGGCAAAACATGACCATGCAAGACCACGCTGCACCTACCTCTCAATGTCCTCATCCCGGCTGCTGGAGGAGGTGGGAAGGGAGCCCACAGCATCCCCGCGTGCGGTGACAGAGATGTTGCATTTCACAAAGCCTTTCACGCCTGCCCGGGTGTCCGTGGGGTCACTGATAACCGCCCACTTCTGGAAAAACCTGTGGTCTGGGAGGGAAGGGCAGAAGATCCCTGTGGAGAGCCCAGGCTGCTATTTCACATCCCAAATACAGCTGCACAAATATTGCCCTGACTCTGCCTCTGAAGGTGCAGGAGGTATCATCAGCCTCAGACAGGCGTGAGGAGAAGCAAGGGCTGCTCTTCATATGAACTAAGTGCTTTACACACAGGGCCCTCGCCAGACCCAGCAGAGCGTGAAAGAACCACCAGTGTCAGATGGTTCAGTGTAGTCTGCCATACCTGGCTGGCTGTACACCGTCACGACATCCATCTTGAATGTTCCTATGCACGTTCCCAGGAATGGAATTGTCTTGGAATGAAAAACCTGCAGACAGCACAAACCCTCCTGAGCACCTTGCCCATCATTCCCAGCATCTACGTGCAGAAGCGTTGGGCTGTACCAGTTACAGATGAAGGATGAAGAGGAGGAGATCCTTACCGAGATCTCTATGAGTCTGTGGAACAAAATGTCTTTTGGCTCATGGAATTCAAACAAAAAATACTGGAAGAGAAGAGCAAGACACCTGAGTCCAAGCTCCCAACATGGCCCCACAAGTGCCGCTACCTGAGAGCAGCTGCATCCCAAGCATCCCCTGCAGGGACTTGGGACACCAGCAGGGCAAGGACAGAGCCTCTATCACATACTTCATTGTAGAAGGGGCAGTTTGTTGACTTCTGTGTCGCCGTGTGCCTCTTCTCCTCTCCAACCTTGACTACCACAAAGGGGTTAATGTTCACCCCCACCAGCTTCTGGGCTTCAATGATATTTATCCCAACCTGAGAAAATGTGGGAGAAAACCTTCAGATGAAGGTTGTCCTCATTTCCAGCTCCATCTTGAGCTTGTTTCAGCAATACCAGCACACAAATGTGCAGGGCAGTGCAATACATTGAATCCTACTGAGCTGGAACCATCGGAAAGACTGGAAGGTGGCTGTCTCATTTGCTGCAGCTGGTTACAATTCTAAGATAGGGGAGAACTGTTCTCACATTTGCTCTCAGTACAAGCAATTAGACAGTTGTTAAGGTGAAGAATAATAGCTTCAAGAAAAGCAAGGTAGGAAATCCCACCCCCACAAAAGGTTCCTGCTTGGTCAGTAGAACCCAGCTCTGGAAAGCAGGAGACCCAAACGTGAATCCATGCTTACTTAGAACCAGGGGAGGATTTAAAGCCATCTGTCATGAGGTAAAAGATGGTACTGAACTCCATTTCCAAACTTCACAGTGGGGTCAAATAAACCTGATGTCAGAGCATCTGCCAGAACCACAACTTTATACCAGCCTCCAGGACCTCCCTGCAGCATCCCTCCACCCCAGCCATGGCCCACATGTCCCTGGGGAAGCTGGGAGGCACCAGCCCTGCCTGGATGCTCTCCAAAGCTCTGCTCAGACAGTATTTAGCAGTGGCACATGTGGCCATCAAACCAATTCCCTTCTCCTGTACATCCATAGATACAGGGACGTGCACCCAATGCTGCGATACCTGGAAGCTCTGCGGGGTTGGGGTGGCAAAGAGGTCCCGTGCGGAGCAAAGTCTGGAGCGGCTGGACAGAAGAACAACCCAGGTGAGTGGGTCTCTTCATCTACATGGATCTGAGCAAGCCCCCACTGAGAGAAGCAACAGAAACTCTGGCAAATAATAGCCCCTCACCCTGGGAACAAGCAAACCCCCAACAATCCCTGTTTGGCACCACTGGTGATCGAAGATTTCTGACCTTTTGCAGAAGCAGAATGCCAAGAGATGCAGGATTCCCCCAGGAGCTGGCACTTCCCACCCCAGGGGCAAGAGAGCAGAGCACGCTGCGGATACCTCCTCACAGGGCTGAAGACAATGCCCGAGACCTCCATCTCAGATGCATCGTAGAAATCTTCTTCCTCCTCTTCCTCTTCCTCATCTGTGTCCAGGCCCTTCGCCAGCTTCCTGCCCAGTGCAGCAGCTCTCCTGTCCAGTTCACTGCCTCTCGGCCCCTCGGCTGCCCTGCAAACCCCATCCACATCACACACCACATCAGCAGCCCTGACAAGGGGTCGTGGCATTTCCCTGCCCCGGAGGGTGAGCTGATACACTGGGGCTACTTACTCCAGCTCCTCAAATCCAGGATTGCGGATGATTAACTCTGAGCTGGAAGAAAAAGAGGTGCTTTGATGAAAAAACAAGTGTGTTGTGGCTGTTCATGGATGCATTTAATAACAGTGCCACAGCCGTGCTCCTGCTTCTGCTTGGGACAAGGACAAGAGCATCTTCCCAAGCGATGCTTCTCCAGTGTCTACCCACTGTGACTGCTGCTTCGCCTCTGGCACTCCAGAAGTGACACTCCTCAGACCTCGCTGCTGCCTGTCACCCTGTCCACCAAGACACCTGCATCTCCCCTGGCTTTGGGTGCCACCAGGGTTGATACAGTCCAAAGCCACAATCTGCACCTTTGCAACCACAGAGTCTTGCTTCCATCAGCCAGGAAGGCTGCAGAAACACTCCTGAGTCCAGAGGGACTCCCGGGGTGCAGTGGGTTGTCGCAGTCACTTGTGAAGACAAGGTATTTTCTTCCCAAGACCCCTACTCACTTACTGCAGAGCAAAGATGCATTAACCTGGCCAAGGTGGAGAGTAAATGAGGCTGGATTGCATCCCAAAGGCTGCCATGGGCAAAGGCAGCTGTACAAGCTGCCTGGATATTTGTTCCTCCTAGGATTTCTGTACCTGTCTTTCATCTGATAGACAAAGTCCTCTTCAACCCAGGTCCCAGCTGAGCCATCTGGAGGCTGGTAGCGCAAATCCAACTCAATGTAGATCTACAACCACAAAATACATCTGCCACAAAACAACTGATCCAGCCACCTCAGCAGATGAAACACAGCCTCCTACATCCATCACCCAGACCTGGGGAGATTTTACTAAGCCTCCCTCTGTTGATTCAGGCCCTTGCAGGTCTCCAAGCCCCCCAGCTCACCCCATGCACTTCAAGATGCTCCTGGAACCACTTGATGGGTATCAAGCAGCTGCATCTCTGTACAGAGAGGGTACAAATGCCGCAGCACTCCCCGGCTCAAAGCAGCACCTTGGACTCCCCCTTCAGCCCCAAAACTACCTGGGAAGCACCACATCAGGTTTCCTTCAAAGCCTTCCCTACTGCTGAGGACTTACACCAGTGACTCTGTGGTTCCTGTCAACAAGGGCCTCCCGGAGGATCAGCCTCCCAGATGTCATCAGGTGCTGAAGGCTGAGGACAAGGGTACCAAGAAGCCTGGAACAAAGTCAGAGGCTGCAGCAATGATGTTCACAGCATCAGTGCACACATCCCATGGGAAGGGAGGAGCAGGATCTCCGCTCTCCTGCTCACAGCCCCTCCGAGCTGCAGTGAAGGCACAGAAATGCTACAAGTTTTCCATAGGAAGCCAAAATAACCGAGTCCCACTGACCATGCAAAGGTTGTGCCTCCACCCCAGCACGCCCAGGAAGCTGCTTGCAACCGAGCTGCCATCAATAGTTAAAGGCTTGTGCAGCTCCAGCCCCACTGAGGGTGAGGGAGCTCTCCCCTTCCACAGAGCTAGCTTTTACAGTGTGCTTGGGCACCCAGCAGGGCTGGTGTGACTTCCCAGGAAAACAGGGAAGCAGAAGCTCCACAGAAGGAAATAAAGAAATAGGACACAAAGCCATGGCCACAGGGATGCCTGCAGCAAGTCAGGCCAGAATTTATCTACTCCAAAGGAGCTTCCCCCTGGCAAGGGTCATGTCACTCCCTGCAAGTGCCAGTAACACACATGGGATCACGTTGTATAAGCATGATCCCAGTGGGCTGATCAACTGCTTTTAAACTCTAATATCTGTCACCTGCCATTACTCTGCTCCCCAGCAGCACAACTAAATCATTCTTATTTACCCCCCTTATTTAACTTAATACATACAGCACTGCTGGCACACCAGAACAACCAGCTCCATCCCTCTTCTAGAACATCTGTCCTGCGTGGACAGATGCTGTCAGTGGCAGACCACTCATCTCCCACGGGACTTCCTCAGTCAGTATAATCAGGTCCCAGTGATTTGTTACTGTTTGCTTTATCTATTTGTCCTAGAGCAGTTTCTATTGACATTTCAGTCAGAGATAATTCCCCTGATCCAGCTCCCATCCAGTAAACAGTGACACAGAATTCAGCCACATTTTCTGCTCTGGCTTTATCTTTAAGCATCTCGCGTGTGCTGTGTTCATTTGTTTCCTCCACACCCTCTGGCAGGTTTGTGATGGCTTTGGAAAGGTTTGTATTATTATTAGCAGCCTCGAAAAAGCTGTTCCTGTTGGATTGTCTTCATTTCTTGCATTTTGCTTATCAGCCCTGACACCTTTCCCTGCATACTCATGTTTCACGTGTCCCAGAAGGACGTACCTCTGCTCTCTTGCTTGTTCCGCCGCCCTGCTGCAAGTCCTGCCCTTGTAGTTCTTTTTAGGGTCCTATTTTACCTTTGTCTGATCTGGATCCTTAGGTAGTCTCTGTTACCGCTGGCACAACCAAATCATTCTTATTTACTCCCCTTATTTAACTTAATATATACAGCACTGCTGGCACACCAGAACAACCAGCTTCATCCCTCTTGTAGACCTTGCATCCTGTTCATTTTCTTTCCATTAGATTTCCAGTATTTTCCATTCCCAGTAGATAATGTTTCTTCTCCATGATCGTTGGCTGGTTACCCCAACAACCAAAGGACCTACCTGTTACTGAAAACCTTGCTGCAGTTGTAAACCTCAATGGACAGTGTTTCTCCCATGATGAGCTTCCCATAGTGAGGCCAGCGAAAGAGCTACAAACAAACAGAGCACGAAGAAGTGACAGCTCATTCCCAGGCACACTTTCCCATGTTTAGTAGCTGTCTGGGCTCCTCTGCAAGGTGATCGAGGCCGAAGAGCACCACAAAAAGTGGGGAGTCTCTTTCCTGCTGGTCAGGGCAGATCCTGCAGCTAGGATGGAGGAATGGTGGAGAGGGGAGTGAGAGTCCCTCCAGCAGCACAGAGCTGCAGGTCAGGTGCTTAAGGAAGCCAGAGCATCATTACCATGGGAAGAAGAAGGTGCTTGTGCTGGCAGGTTGTGTGGCCAGATGGGGCATGGGAAGGTGCAGAGGCAGGCGCAGAGATCACCCAGGGCAAGGAGCAGGCTGGGGCACGTTGAAAAGCTGTGCCCCAAGGCTGCGATTCACCTGACACCCAAATCAGATGGATGCCTTGTGGCTGCCAATAGAGAAAGGTCCATCCTGCCCCCAGAGTTCTTCTACTCCTTTCTCCAGGCCAGCCTGGCCTTGAACACTGCCAGGGATGGGGCAGCCACAGGTTTTCTGGGCACCCTGTGCCAGCACCTCACCACCCTCACAGAAGGGAAAGAACATGTTCCTAATATCTCATCTAAATCTCCCCTCTATCAGCTCAAAGCCATTCCCTGTATTCATTAGAATTCATCTCCATTATGGCTCAAC